ATCGGCGGCTCCAAAATGGCCGCCGGAGGCCCCAATCGTCGCAAAGCGAGTGCGGCGATTGGGGCTGATCCGTATAGCGATCCCCAAAAAGGGATCGCTATATGGATTCTTCGTTAAACGGTGCACTCGTTAAGCGAGGCACCACTGTATTTGGTTCCAGTTTCCTACTGCTCTAACAGTTAGAAAGTTTTTCCTGATATTCAACTGAAATCTGGCTTCCTGTAAGTTGCACTATGATGTGTCCTGCACTCTGATCCGGAACAGATCCTGCCCCTTTTCTGTAGGACTACCTTTCAAGTATTTGAAAAGTGCTATCATGCCTCCCCTCGGTCTTCTTTTCTCAAGGCTAAACCTGGCCAGTTCTTTCAGTATTAACTGCTGTTAATGCAGCCTAAAATAGCATTTGGCTTTTTTTGCAGCCGCATCACACTGTTGGCTCATATTCAGCTTGCAATCTGCAACAATTCCAAGATCTTTCTCACTCGTAATATTACTGAGCCAAGTATCCCCCCATCTTGTAATTGTGCATTTGGTTTTGACCAGAAGCTGCAGAGCTTCGCACTTATCCCTGTTGGGTCTCACTCTGTCGTTTTCAGCCCAGTGCTCCAGCCTATCAAGATCTTTTTGAGTGTTGTTCTTTTTTCCCCCAAAAGTGTTAGCTATTCCGCCCAATTCTGAGTCATCTGCAAATCCGATAAGTGTTCCCTGAACTCCCTCATCCAAGTCATTAATAAAAATCTTGACGAGCACTGTGGATCCAGGGCTGAGCCTTAGGATATCACACTTGTGAACTCCCAGTTTGAGAAGGAACCACTGATAAGCACTCTCTGGGTATGATTCTGCAACCAACGGTGTATCCGCCCGATAGCTGTTCTATCCAGCCCACACCTACTTAGCTTACTAATCAGAATATCATGGGCTCTTTGTCAAAGGCTTTGGTTAAGTCAAGATATATAACGTTCACAGGAGTCCTGCTTGTTTACCCAGGGAGTTACTAAATCAAAAAATGAAATAAAATTAGACTGGCATGATTTGCTCTTCACAAATCCATGTTGGCTTCTAGTTATTGCTGCATTTCTTTCAAGGTGTTTGCAGAGTGATGACTTTATAATCTGCTCCAGAATTTTCCCTGGGAGGGATGTCAAGCTGATCGGTCTGTAGTTTCCTCCTGTATGTCCTTTTTGAAGATGGGGAAACATTAGCCTTCCTCCAGTCATTCGGCACTTTACCAATCCTCCATAATTTCAAGAAAATAACAGATAGTGGTTCTGTAATCTCTTCAGTCAGTTCCTTCACTATTCTTGGATGCAGTTCCTCTGGCCCTAGGATTTGAACTCATTCAAAGTACTAAGGTATTTATCAGTCTCAAGCTGCAATCCTATCCCCTCCCTTTGTACTTCACATTTTCCTAGAGAAGCAGAGACCGTCTTCTGGGAAAAAACTATGCTGGAGTAGGAATTGAGCAATTCTGCCTTTTCTTTGTCATCTGTTACCATTTCCCTACCCTCATTGAGTAGCTGAGCCACTCTTTCTTTTCTCCTTTATCTACACACATACCTCAATAATGTTTTTTGTTGCTTTTAGCTTCTTGCTAACCTCAGCTCATTCTCAGCTTTTGCCTTCCAAATGCATCCCTGCAATTCTTTGCAACTTGTCTGTACTCTTCCTTTGTGGCCTGGCCTTCCTTCCACTTCCTCTATGTGTCTTTTGTTGTTGTTGTCCGTCAGGTCCTCTCTGAGCTTTTTTATTTATTTATTTATTTATTTGAAGCTACACTGGCCTTTTTTGGTGTCTCCCACCTTTTTTTCTTCTTGGAATTGTCCCTTTGTTGTTTAGTCATTAAGTTGCATCCGACTCTTCGTAACTCCATGGACCAGAGCACGCCAGGCCTTCCTCTCTTCGTTCTGCCTTTAGAATTTTCTTTCTAAGAAACTCCCACCCATCTTGGACTTGTTTTCCTATTAGGATCTCCTGCCATGGGACTTTACTTATTATTGCTCTGAGTTTATTAAAGTTGGCTTTCCTAAAACCCAGTGTGCTCTCTGCTTTTGTTTCCTTTGAAATCAAGAACTCCAGTATAACATGGTCACTTTCCCCCCCACAGTTCCTCTTACTTCCACTTCTTCCATCTCGATTCTAACTAATAGAGATGGAAGAAGTGGAAGTAAAAGGAAGCGTGGGGGAAAGTGACCAAATCAAGGATAGCTACTATTTTACTTTCTTCCTCCACATCTCGCAGAAGAAACGTATCAGTCTTGGAAGCCAGGAATTCCTTGAAAGGGCCCTTTTTGGCGGAATTTGTCTCTCAACAGATATCAGAATAATTTGAAATTCTTGCGATTTCTTTTTTAAAGCTTTCATCCACATCTTCTTCTTGACTGGGCACAGTTGGTAGTAACTACCACATCCCACTATCATATTCTTTTTGGGTTTTCAACTCAATTATATTAATCCAGATGCTCTTGATGGGGCTACCAAGCCCATCCTGTATTTCTGTGCAGGAATATGTAGACCATTGGTCTAGATGGGCGGGGTATAAATCTAATAAATTAGATTTCAGTCCTGATAGTCATCCCATTGAGTTTCAGTGGGATATTTATATTTATCCACGTGTGACCTTCTGATGTACTAGCCATTGTGTTAGACAATCCACGGGTCTCCCAACATCTTGGTTCTCTAGCCACCAAAACTATTATGAACGATAACCACAAGACCAAAACGCTTTCAAGCATATAAACGTCCCTCTCAGATAAAGTATGTTATTTGTTTGGCTCGCAGTGGGAGTTCGGCTTTTTGACAGAGTGATTGGTGGGATTCTAAGACCAGAGGTTGAGAAATGTTCCATGCTGGACAAGTTAACTCTCCTGAAGCTAAGGATGTCCTGCATCAAAAGTGCCTCAGCAGAGATCATTGGCGGACAATTTGACAGACACAAGTTTCTGCCTAGGATCAAAAGCAACAGGATTTGAGTCATCCAGGTCTCATTTTCCTTAGCAGTGTGAGATGTAAACATCTGACATTAGTCTAACAATCCATGGGCTGGTTTAAGGTGTTTTTTTTAAGCTAGAGAATGGTTTGAAAAGGCAGCTTATTGGCAGATATTTTGCACGGAGCCCACACCATTTTGAGATGTATAAGCATCACCATATGTTGGGCAAAGATTAAGGGCAGGCAGGATCTTGTGAACCTTGAGGATGATGCTGTGTAGGAATTAACAGTTGGTGGGTGGGCGGGCCTTATTAAATTATTAAGAAAATTATTAAGAGCCCACTGCTGCTTTTACTTGAATTTTATTCCTCTTTTAACCAATGATACAGGTGCACAATGCAGTTCAATGCATATTCCATCTTTGGTCTGCTGCTTAGCGGGCTTCATTTTCTCTACTGCGAGACCACCGCCACCACAGCTACTACTTCTCCAAGTAATGCAACCAGACTGGTGCCCATCTCTGCTTCTGGCGTGATCCGGGAAAACACGACAGCTCTTCACGGCCCGGTCAGCAACAGCACCACAGCAACGGCCGCCAACGGCACATCCATTCTGGGCTCAGTCAACAACGTCACATCTACTCCCGGCCCTGGGAGCAACATCACCAAACCATCAGCCAGCAATGCCACCCTGATGAAGGCCACTGAGGTCACCACGGCTGCTCCAGGCCCTGCCACCAATGCCACCACACTACCAGCTGGTAACATCACCAGAGTGCCAACCAGGAATGTCACCACCAAGCCAATCAGAAATGTCACCACCAAGCCAACCAGGAATGTCACCACCAAGCCAATCAGAAATGTCACCACCAAGCCAACCAGGAATGTCACCACCAAGCCAATCAGAAATGTCACCACCAAGCCAACCAGGAATGTCACCAGAGTGCCAACCAAGAATGTCACCACAGTGCCTCCTAATACAGTCATGTCTACTCCTCAACCTGCCAGCAACATGACCATGTCGCCAGCTGCCACATCGCTGACAAGCAACATGACCAAGTCTACACCTGACCCAATAAGCGGAACCACTACGCCACCACCCACCAAGTCCACTACACATGCTGGTTCAGAAGCTACAGTCAACACGTCAGCCAGTACTGCTGCCACCACGTCCGGCCCAGTGATTAATGCTACACATGCAACTCCTAGATGGCCCAACACCTCCACAAGCAGTGGCCCTGTGGCCGAAACCAGCAGGAATGGCATTACGGGACGCTCCGCTCCTTCATTTTTTGCCTTTGCGCTCCTTGCTCTCTCAGTACTCTGCTTGTAAAAAAATGCACCTCTCTGTTGTACGTGGCCATTCGGGGAAGGGTGGGGGTCTTCCCTGTTAACAAGTCTGTCCGTCTCCTTTTTGACCAATTTTGCTTGGTGTTTGCAACAAGTTACCAAAATAGCTATCTTAATGGAAATATTTATATCCCAACATCGAAACCAGAGAGACAGAGCCTCAATTTGCACACACCTGAACAAGAGGCTTCTGGGAGTCTGTTACGACCGTTGCTTACTGGGACCTACAGAAAAGGTCCTCAAATCACTTGAAGATTCCTCCCCTTTGGTCCACCAGAAGCTTACTCTAAGCCCATGTAATCCGCTGTACCACTGTGGAATGGAGATTGGTTATGTACCTTTTCTTTCCACAATAGAAAGTACAAGTTACACTGAGTGGTTGCTGCTATTAATAGTGGTCACTTCTGCACACTGGCCATGAACTGCTGGTTTTCTGTAATGCCTCCCTACATGTTTGCTTAGCTAACAGGAAAAACACACTGCATTCAAGAGAAACGGACACACCCCTCCGCCTCTATTTACTTGCTTCCGACATGATTAAATTTGATACACATGCTTATGTACCAAAGCTTTCAAATCCATCTACCCGAAGGGCAAAACAAACTCCTGTGCTCCTGAGCTGCGCACCGTGGCCGTATGTTGTTGGACTATAACTCCCATACTCCTGCACGATCAACTATACCCTTTAGACAAGATGGGAGTCGTAGTTTATCAACATCTGGAGGGCAAAATGGTTATCAGATGTTGACGAACTTTTTTTTTAACAGAAATCCTTTCTGTGAGAAAAGACATCGTGCTTAAACATGGCACCAATTTACAAACTCTTAACTTTTTTTTAAAGAGGTTCTCCCCTGTTAAGGTGAACTAAGATATTTGACATGAAGTGGAAGATTTAGTACGGTGGGGTATTTGGAAAAAACAAGAACAACACATTCCCATGCTGAAGTTTATGTGAAGTTAATCCAACTCGGCAGACCAAAACATGATAACATGATGTGGTTTAGCGATGGGAGAAAGCATGATTTGCGAGCCAGCAAAACAACGGCCACTCTTTCAACAATGAGAGGAAGTTCCAAAACGCAGTGGCCATAGCAGCGATAAAACAAAAAAGCTAAACAAGGGGTCCGCCTACGCCAATAGAGAATGTGGCATGCAGGCCTTAAGTTAGTAAGCGGCCCCTCCTGGCTGGGAAAATTATAGCTCTGCAAGGTGGCTTGAAAAGGCAAAAAATAGAACTTAATTGTTACAGGCAAAGCAACAGTTTTGTGCACCTCAAACCTCAAGGCACAAGGGCTGGAGAGGAGCCGAATTTCGGAGCAGGATTGTGTCGGCAGCTCAAACATATCTCAGAACTGCGACGCTCTATGAAAAATGGATACCCCAAAAGGTCAAGCAAATAAGGCTCAGTTCTCTCTCGCACACACACACACAACTGTGGGGCTGTACAGCTAAGAGGTTTCGAAAGGCACGCATGGAAATGTCAATTGGGAATGTACGGGAGTAAAACTTGATCTATTATATTACATCGTACGTGTATGGACTCTTTCCATTTTGCCCCACCAAAGGCAAAACTGAAGGTTTTCTTGGTTGGCTAGCAAATTTTTTTTTTTTTAAAGGACAGATCACAGCATTTTCTCTTTCCATTGTGGGTGGGGCAGCTCTGGACATCCAGATGTTCTGTACTACAAACCCCCTAATCCTTACGACTCCTTGTACTGGTTGGGAGTTCTGGGTGTTGAAGTCCAAAGCTTCTGGAGGGCCAACAATTCCCTCTCCTCGATCTGAGGGAAAGATAATAGATGTGAAGGTCACTAAACAGGGGTAGGGGTGTGTGTGTATGTGTGTGTGTGTGAGTGAGTGAGTGAGTAAGAGAGAGAGAGAGAGAGAAAGAAAGAGAGAGAGAGATTTAGTATGGACGGACTCTTACTGTTGACCCCAATTAGCATAGATGCACTGAGCGAGTAGGATCCACATAAATGCTGACTAAACAAGTCCTATTCGTTCTGTACATTTTCTCAAACTAATAACTGGGTTTAATAACTTGATTTAGGTATCTGGCTGCGGAGCCAGAGTTGGGGGAAACCACTTCTGAGTATTCTCTACCTGGAAGACTCTGAAAAGGGTCTCCATAGCTCAGAATTGAATTGACGGCACATGATGATGATGATGATGATAGCTTCAAGGGTTATCTAGGTTTTTACCAGAACTCTTGATGTACAGATACACACACACACACACATGCCCTTCCCAACCCCCCCTGATGATGATGATGATGATGATAGGTTCAAAGGTTATCTAGGTTCTTACCGGAATTCCTGATGTACAGATATATACACACACACATGCCCTTCCCAACCCCCCCAAGAAGACGCCATTCAGATTTTTAGCCAGTTGCAGCCTTATGCTTCCACTTTGGAAACGGTTCACAACTTGACTGAAAAAAATTACTGGCAACTTGGAGATATACAAGCAGAAGGAACCAAGATCTTTGGGGCTGTGAGTAAGAGTTTTCAGAGTACTCTGGATTTCCAAGCTACCGTTTACCCCTTTAACTTGAAATGTCAGAGAAAGGTTTCAAGGAAAGCCTTCCTCTTGTGGTCACCTGGTGCAACACACTTGGGATATTTTAGGAGGAAAAGTTTGCATTCTACAGTTGCAAACCGACACGGTGGCTTTGGGAAAAAAAATTCTCCCTCCTTATTCTCCCCCGTGTGGATAAAACTGACGAGGGGGGGGGGAACCATCTTAACAAAGCTTGAATGACCAAAGGACACGGATGTGATTTTGCTCTCGAGCAGCTGAGCCACTTTTATACAACACAAACACACACACAAAACACGGACACGCTCATGTATTCCTAAAGAAGGAAGAAAAATGCATCTTCAGTGGGGGAAGTAGTAGAAATATATGGTGTTTAACACACTGAGCAGGTTTCTGAGTGCCAGGCACCCCTTTTCCAAATGGTTCATGGCAAGGAGAAACAATATACTGTATGTCTATTCTTTCCCCCACTGAAAATACGCATCATATGATCCACAGCTCTTGCCCTAACGCAACGGACCGCTCGGGCTCCTGGCTATTACAACGCAGCCCAGCCCCACAATCCCTGCCTGCTTTATGACCCAAGTTTTAGCAGTGCAAGCTGTTCCTCCCTCTGCAATGCAGAGTTATTGGGCTCAGGGACTTAGTGGCTCAGCGGATGATCTGAGCCTAAATCTTTATGGCCCGAGCCTAATGCTGCTCTCCCGGCCCCTTTCCATGAATGGCAACTACGGACAACCGTCACAATTCCACCGTTTTGTTGCTTTTGTTATTACTGCTGTTGTTTTTGGAATAAGCACCTATCCTTTTTTTCCAAAATTATGCCAGATAATAGGCTTCCTGCTAGTTCAACAGTGAGAATTGTGTGTGGCCTGTAGGCTTCAATGCAATATCTCAATCAATGCCATTTTTTAAAAGCCAATTGATTGATTGATTTTAGATTCCACCTTCTCACCCGTGCAGGATTCCAGACTTTGCTCAAGAATGGAATTCTAGAGACCGTTTAGGGTTCTGAGACGGTATCTCAGAGGGTTTTACCATTACCTCTTTTAGACAAGCCAGAACCCAGGCTTTCTGTAGGGAGCTGTCCACTGCTCCTCATTCTCCACTACACAGCCAAGGCGTGTTGCTAGCACACCACAGAGTAGACCTGTACCTGGTCAGATCTGCTCCCAGTTTTGTGTCATCATAACTCTAGTGTCCATACTACTCTTTCAAAATGATCAGTTCCATAATAAACCAACGGCTTGGCTTGGCTCCATTCTGTAGGAAGGGGATGCTTAAAAGCGATCGCTCTTTCCACAGGCCAACCAGACCTTCGGTTTCATGACATCTTCTGGGGAGTTTCTTGTCGACCTGCCAAGGTAACGAGAAATCTCCCAAGAGATGTGACAAAGCCACTTGCCTCCCTCTTCGTTGGCCTTCAAGCCCTGAAAAAGCCCTATGTTCTAAGGCGCCCCCAAATCCCACGTGGTAGCGGTCTGTCCGCCACACAGCAACTAAAGAAGGTTCTCTCACAACCACACGGATCGCTTCCACCTGACCCGGCACAAAAAATGAGGTCCAGATGATGCCTTGCAGCGTAAATGGGGGTCAGGTGCCACTTGGAGTAGGCTCATCCTCACAAGGAAGTCGTGACAGGACATCCTGACCCACTTGTGACAAATTGCTTTTTGCACGGCTGTTGGATGTCTCGTGACACCCCAAGCGCAGAAATGCCCTGGCACCACCCCGTAGACCAACTCAGCTCAGCTCAGGAAGGAAGGAAGGCTGTTCAACAGTAGGGCAGGCAGGACGCTGGAAGAATCCCTCTTCGACCTTGAGGACTTACTTGGGATGCGCAAAGCCAAAGCCAAGGAGGCGGTCGGGGTGTGGCGCAAGTGGGCAAAACTGAGCAAGACAACATCCCTTACCTCGCTGAGCTAAGTTTTCCTTTCTCTACCCTGATACCATTGTTGGATGCAACTTGGCAGCGAACAACCTAATTTTGGGGAGGGTTGGAAAGGAGGAGAATTGCGCTTAGAGAGGGCATCTATTTCAGATGCTCCCACTGCGGAACAATTACGAGCCAACCAAGAGAGTTATCTTTAATGTGTGATATCGGTTACGATCCCTCTCCCCACAACTCTCAAGAGGTGTCCCCTTCCTCGCTTTGCAAATGCTTGAAAGGTAGTCCGACAGAGGTAGGGCAGGATCTGTTCTGACTCATCCCAGAGAGCAGGACATAGAACAATGGGCTCAAGCTACAGGGAGCCAAATTTTGGTTGAGTATCAGAAAGAAAAACTTCTTCACTGTTAGAGCAGTACGACAATGGGATCAGTTACTCCGGAAGATGGTAAGCACTCCAACGCTGGAGGCATTCAAGAGAAAATTGGACAACCGTCTGCCAGATCTGCTTTGACTTGGATTCCTGCCTTGAGCAGGGGGTTGTATTCAATAGCCTTATAGGCCCCTTCCAACTCAATTATTCTATGATTCCAAATACACAATAGATCACATTTTAGTTTAACAAACATGCAGATGTGACCATGAATTCCATTCCAAGGTACAACTTCCAGAAGGAAAAATGACCGAGGGACTTGCCGAGGTCTACCATAGTTCCTTCTCCACCTATTTCCTTCTTCAGAATAAACAGTCAAGGTCTATTCTGCTTTCCTGGCATTTATTTGCTCAAGGATCTTAAGATATTTCAACTCACAAAGAGATCCTGAGCTTCTTGTTTGCTTGCTTCTGTAAGTCTGTTCCGTTCCGTACCATGAAGTTTAAAAAACAGGTCTCTTCCCTGGCTAATATTTGCGGTTTAAGGACATGTCTTGAGATTTAACTGCAGCTGCCTTTGGAGAAAGCGAAACTTAAAAAGATTCCAGTAAAAGAAAAGCAAAAGAAGATATAGCATTACCGCTTGTAGGCATGTACCCTCAACACAGAACCTGAGACAAAAGGTACCATAGATACTGTTTCTTTTGGAAAATAATCAATGCTTTTCCCTCTAAAAGGTGAAACCGCAAAACTTCAGAACAACGTCTGTTTCTAATTGCTAGGCATAGAATTACAGCACTACTAGGACCTCTTAAGGAGCAGGTGGTTTCAGGAAATGCCCATCCTCAGCATCAAGAATCCCATTCCTAAGAAACCAAGTTGTTATGCTGATGGTTGCCACTCGCAAATTTAAAAAAAAGAAGAAGTTGTTTTAGATCAACCGGTCTCTATGCAGGCAGGGTCATGCTGCATCCTTGGTCTACCTGGTTCAACATCCTTATTCCCATACTGGATTACATTAAAAAAAACATGGCACAGCTAAAAACATAAGATTGTGTAATTCAATCAATTGTCATGCCAACAAATTAAAGCAACAATAACCTTGTTTTCTTTCATCTTTCACGGTCAAGTTTCTCCCCACTCAACTGGAGGTTTCCAGATGTGCCGAGCGACAACTCCTAACAGACTCAGTCACGCTAGCTGAGGATGATGAGAGTCAGAATCCAACACATCACATCATGGCCCATGGCCATCCATACAATATGAAGGGAATCTAGGCTGAATCAGGACTGCGTAAGTTGGCCTAACCAACCTTATAATGGGGTGTGCGAAGAGCTGTTTCCAGTCTGTGACCCCTTTTCAAATGTACCAGGGCACCGCATGGCCCCCTTTTATTGAGAATGGCTGGCTTACGCTTTCAGAATGTCCTTGAAGACGCCAGTCCTGGAATCTGGGGGACAGAGATTGTGAATATGGAAGGTTTTGTAGGTTCCCATTTTCCGTATCAGGGCCTACAGATGCCAAACCAGGTCTTGTTACTGGGGAGCAGGCTCAGCCCGGATGGCGAGGGGAAAGAAGGGGCGGTTTGAACTGGAGAGTTTCATCCCCATCGATCCAAACGCACGCCGCCGGTGGATGCTACTCTACCGTGTAACTGGACCAACTGCCTAAAGCTCCGAGAAACCTCTAGGAAAGATGGAGTTCTGCCTCTGTGCAGGTAGGTCTAAGCTTTACACAGGGGAGCGATCCCCCCCTAGTAATCTGGCGTCTGCCTCAAGAACACGTCAGTTTCCCCCCCTCCCCGTTTTCTTCTAGGAAGTGTTTGGGAGGCAGTGTGAAAAGTCCAACTCTGCTCTACCAAGAGCAAAAAAGGGGAGCTTCACGTTTCGACTGTGGTTTCCCTGCTCAAAATTCTTTGCAGCTGCATGCGAGATATGCAAAGATTTGATGGGTAACGATCGTAAGCCATCATTTTCCTTCGCCTCTTCCCACCCCCTCTGTATTAGTGTTATGACTGTCTTATTAAGCAAACCTGTACTACGTTCAATGTCTTTTGCGGGTCATGGACCATAATAATGAACCGAGCTACACTAAGCAGGAGTGGTACTGCCTAGCAAAAAAACAAAGACAGCCACTATCTTTTTTCCCTTAGGATGATGCAAGGCCATGACTATGTCATGGGATATGGATTCCAGGAGATCTTAGTGAATCACCTCGGGGCTGCAGGATGCAATTTTAAACAATCCCTTCCGTTAAGGATACCCTGCAAACAAAAAAAAACCCCAGCAAAACGAAGCAAAATAATAATAATAATAAAATATTCACAATTCTTTATTTCTGACTGCAGGAAAGTGGCAAACTGGTGCCAGCTGAAGCGGTCCAGTCCTCACCACCACCTCATTCGGCTTCATGTCTCTGTCACTTATCTTAAAACTTTTACCATCAAGGATTTTTAAACAAAGCAATCTTTGGTGTGGGGGTTTAAGTCAAGGATTGGGACCCTCTGGTCCTTCTGGCACTACCGGATGACCACTTTCATGATCCCTGACCTTAAATCTATGCCTGCCGCTGTTTCGTAGCCTCGGTGCTGTTCGGGGATCATGGGAGGGGAAAAAATGCCCAGGGACTAATAATCTTGTTTTGATTTCCAGAGACGTAGCCATGTTAGCTTGTCGTCTGTTGCTGCAAAACCAACAAAAGGGTTTGGGCCATCTTGTAGACGAGCAGGTTTCGTTTAGCATAAGCCTTCCTAGAGATCACCCTTCAGAGGCTTGTGAGCTTCTACCCACAGATGCTTATGTCAAAAACCTATCAGCAATGTAAAGGCGTATTTTTTTTCCAACTGCTCTTTTGTTTCTGATCTTTCTCTCTTTTTTTGCAGGGGCATCTCCAGCCTAAATTTAACAACCGCAAAGGCTAGATGTGATGTTCCTGGAAAATCGAAACACGTTATCATCATTTGCAGGGGACGCAAGACGAATTCTACCGCACTGCATTTCCCGGTTTTCCCTCCTTCCTTAAACCGATTCTCTGGAACAAAGGAGGGGGGAAATGCAATTAAGTCACAGTACGGCCATCTAAAGAAGACCCTCAAAGGTCCGTACCAACTTCTAAAGGGCCACTCAAAGATCCATCTTCCTTTTTTCCCCCCATTCCAGGTATGTATTTTGAGAAAGGCTTAAAGAAAAATACCCTTACTTCCTCTCGGGGCAGAAGGGGAGATAGCCTCTGTGTTTGTGCTTGTTGCCCTGGGGAAAAAATTGACACCTTGACATTTCTAAGCCACAAGAACCAATAATGTTTGAGGCTTGTGATTGCGTAACAACTGTGAAATTATATTTAAAGGGCAGAATTGAGTAGGGTGCCTATTAGGCGCCCACAGAGCTGAACTTTTCAAAGACTTCTATATTTTACTCCCTTCATAAACATCAGAAACTGACAACAGGTAAGGAACAATGCATTTAAAATTGAACAGAGCATATACATTTTTTTAAAAGGGCAATTCATGGTGTGGGTTAATGTATTAAGGGCTAGGCATTTTGTATCGGAATAGGTTTAAAAAATATCTTAAGTGAGTTTGTTGTTAAAAAAATGTTTCGAGATTTTGGAGTAGGAGCCAGTTTTTTAAAATGGAAAGGTAAGACTCTAATTGTGTCTAGCACAGCTAGAAAGCTGCAATAGATATTAATATATAGATGAGAGAGAGAGAGAGCTCTCAATGTTTCATTATAATAAAATCCTCTCAGAGTGGCTTATAAAGAACCAGAACACTCACTTATAATAGTTGGAAACTAACCCAATACTTTTCAAAAGGGGTTTTAAAAAATTGGAAATCAAAAAGAGTTGCTAGCCCTCATGATTGATTGTGAAATATTTGATTAGAATGTGGCCTGCTTCCAACATAACAACGATGCCAAGAGATATTTGGAAAGAATATAATTGGAAAAATAAAAATAAGAGGCATCCTTTTGCCTGATTGTGAAATACTTGATCAGAATGTGGCCTGCTTCCAACATAATGATGCCAAGAGATATTTGGAAAGAATATCATTAGAAAAATAAAAATAAGAGGCATCCTTTTGCCAAGTAAATATGCGAACAGGGAGAAACGTCAGAGTCATGGAGTGATAATCAGTCTTGTGAAATTTTACCAAGCAAGCATCTGAGTTAAAACATACAATACCTTAGTTCATTAGATAAAGTTGTTAGATACTTACCATTGTTCTAGCCGCTATATTTCTGGGCATGCAGGAAGTAGTACTGAGAAGATTGATTCTCCTTTACTCACAACAAAACCTGATAAGCATCTACATCACGGATAGGGAATGATCTATATTTGCCAAAATTCTCATGTGGAATCTGGTTCTTAGAACAAACTCTTTTGTCTTTATGTGTGTCCTACTGAAGTTGATTCCTAAAATGTCTGAATCATCAGCTTTAAAATCTGACTGTGGGTAAGAGACTAATTAACAGATTGCAACCGTAAGCGTGTTTAAGGAGAGATTTGCTCAGGGTGGGGGCCTGAATATGATGGAGTCACATGGGGTGGATATGGCGTTCCATGCCTGGCGCTCTTCAGAAATCTCTTTCTCAGCCATAAAAGCGCCAACATGGCGGCTACCCAACCGGATAGGGTCAGCGTGCGTGCATTCTTGTCCTTCACTGGCACATCTCCACCAATTTTTTTTCGCCCCTTGCCCTGGCTGGATTGCACGAAGAGGTCCCTGGAACATGTCTTGAGGGTCACTTCGTAGCCTCAATACTGAACAAGGCAACCGGGGGACAGATTTTGCGGCGGGAGAGGGTCCCAATAGTGGCTGTCTTTGGCCTCTCCCACTCTCCCTCATCTCGTTAGAAGCTGCTGCCGTTGGTGCAGGCACCAATCCCGCATCATCCTTTGAGTGCTGACTTCTTCTACAGCACTCATGTTTCCTACTGCCTGTATCCACAGAAGAACATTATCTGATTCTACTACAGCAGAACACAAACCCTTTCAATAAAAATCACACATGCATATACACAGACATAAAATCTACTAACATAATACCTATCTTATTCTCCTGCCTCCAAAGTAGCCTTAACCTAATATGCCCCTGTTGATTTACAACATATTAACCTGTAAACCTACTAATGCTAGATCTTATTCCTAACTATATTAAGTGAGCAATAGGCAATGAGATATAGCACATGTAAATGTTAAGCTGAGGATTCAGAAAAGGAGATGGAGAAAACTGATGCAGTGCAGGCTTGCACCAGAGCATATTCTAACAGCAAATGCTCAAGGGATTTATAAGCAGCTGTGTCCACCTTTCAAATGGAACAAATCAATGTGGAAAAAAAACCTTCTGGTGTTTGTGCCTGCTTCTAGATTTCATTGGTGTAAACAGAGATCATTTACAAACTTTGCTCTCACTCCAACGCCCTCCTCCTTTTGGAAACCCACAGCAACCCTAATCAGGAAACATTGGATTCTCTGCCCTACTATCCTTGGTGCCAGAGTGTCCTAGTTTCATTTCTCAAGACATTACATCAAGATGCCTCATTAGGTTTCGTTTTCACATCTCCCTCTAGCAAGCAAAAACCCAGACTTCCTAATCTATAAAGGGTCAATGGGTCTTCAAATATGGGGAATTATTACTACAGGTATTTGGAGCTAACCAAATACGGCATTATTCGGAATATTTCCACACCCACATGCACAACCCTACTACAAAGCCCTTCTCGGGCAGAGAATTTAATGACAAACCTTTTCTTCTAAACACTTGTGAGTTGTTATCTAAACTGTTCTGTTTAAACCCAAGCAGGATGAAGAAGCAGTGGAAATGGCTATGGCCCATCCTGGTGGCTGCGATTTTGGTTGCGTCACAAGATGCCCCAACGATCACCCCAACCAAAGTTCCTTCTACGACAAAGATGATCACCCCAACCAAAGTTCCTTCTACCCCAAAGGTGCCCACTGCAAAGGGAACGACCACCGCAAAGTACAATGCAACACCATCACACGTTAATTCCACCACATCACATGGCAATCTTCCTGTTGCTAGCATCCCGTTTCTCTTCACTCTTTTAACTTGGTGGGGTGGGGGGTTTCTGTCTGTGAATATCATCTTTCAAACAGCCTAATTCATCTGAGCATTTTACATTTTAAAAATCAGGGTAATTTAGTCTCATTCAATTCAGTGACTCTTTACGACCATCACTGTATCTTCTAATAAGGACACCTTCTGCTACCAAATCCAAAGCTACAACCACTCACTTCCCATTCATTATCCCTTCGCCTCGTCTCGAGAAGGCAAAGGAAGACAAGCAACTGCTCTTGCTGTTCACGACACACGAGTCACAATATTCGCTTCTGATCTGGGACCACAGGCCGAACGGAGTGTCAATAATAATGGCAGACTCGTAAAGCATTTAAAGAAGTTTAAGGCCTTGGGTAGAAAAATGAACATGGAAACTGAGTGCACAACATCTGGACAAGAGAAACAAATTTAAAAAGCCATTAAAAATGGCAGGAGAATCAGACACGGGCAGATTCCTCCAGAAAGACAACCGAAGGACGAGACCAGAACACACTGTGCTCCATGCTTTGTCTTACAATGAATGTTACTTTATTATAAATTGTTGGAGGCCTTAATAAATAAGATAGTCACAACAACCCATGTCGGGTTTACTTTGCAGGCAAGTAAGACTCTGCTTGACTCTGATTCATGTGCATGATTTCTGAAAAGCAATCCACATGCTAGATGCAAAAAGAGGGGGGGCAACATAGAGCTCAATTCCCCACATCATGGAAAGGAGGGCAGGAGGGGGCGAAACACTATGCAAACTTTCTTCTGGCCAGCCAGAACGTGGAGCATTTTTCAGCATCCATTTGGGGGTGGGGGGGACAGGCTTGGAGCCGATCCCTGGGCATACTGGGGTCCCATAGTACATCACAAGGAACGGCCCCAGCATATAAAACCAGCCACAAAGAAGAAAAGGTTGGTCAGATTCTCCCCAGTCTTGCTGAGACCCTTTCCATCTAAAATGTTAGGGGTGCAACCCAAAATGTTAGGGGCTCAGCCCAAGATCTTCTGCTTGAGCAGCATGCCCATATCCCTCTACACCTGCTTCCCAATCTGAAGTAGCAAGTCACCTTGCATGCAGCTGATGGGCCACACGGTAGGCCCGCTGTCTTTGGCCTATCACATGACTGAGCGCACACATACCTAAGTGCAAATTCTCACGTGATTCAGTCATTTACTTCTGTTCCTCATGTTTTGTGCTCCTCATCTTAATGCTGTCATAGCTGATACGCATACATACATAAGTGCAAATTCTCACGTGATTCAGTCTTCATAGTTTACTTCTGTTCCTCATGTGTTGCGCTCCTCATCTTAATGCTGTCATAGCTGATTTCTCGTCAAAGACATGGCTGGCTGCACTTAAGCGCCAGCACAAATATTTGTACTGACCGGGTCAGGAACGAGCAATTTCCACAGAATTTTTGTTGCTTCAGTGAGAATCCGCAGCATCTCCTTGTCTCTCGCTTGCACACCCTGCAGATCTGTTCTGGCAACGTGGCTCTGGATCATGTCCCAGGGAGAGGAAGCCCTGATCCTGGTGGCACTCGGTATCGACAGATACTGTCGGACCTTGGCCGGCTGTGTTAATATGGGTCTCCATAAGTCAGCACAGTTAATGCACAAGAAAACAAGGAAATGTACATGGGAGGGACAGCCACTTTTGCTAAGAGTTACGGAACAGCAGCAAAACGATTTAGTTTCCAGTTGAGAATCCGGGTACTCCACTTCCTTGCTCGCCTCTGACGCTATGGCTGAAAAGATATGTAAATAAAAACACCACCGGAGCAGGCGTGCGCACGCTCTCCAAGCTCCAAATGGGTAATAATAGCAATGGTGTGCCGTCGAGCCATCGGCCTTAATCAAAGGCAGAGCACTGACAAACTTTAGAACAATTTAGAAGCTGTTTGTGGACTTTGTCAAACAAGGAAAAAGGACAAACGTATGGTATATGGTCTCAAGTTCTAGAGATTTAGATACAAAGGAGGTTTATTCCTGAGTATGGACCTGATGCAGCAAAGACTGACTTGGAAGTATTTATTCTAAATAAATAATAATTATTGCTAAACTGTGTAACGAAGGATGGGACGTTCTAAAACGTCTGTAGTTTGGAAGAATTTGTAAAACCGGTTGGCTCCTATCCGAACGGCCTTCCCCCTTTGGTGTATCCCTTGAATGAGAAACTTAATAGTAATTATACACCCTCTCTCACACACACATACACACAAAATTATTGAGTTTATACAGGATTATGTGTGTTTGTAAGATTATTGTGCGTGCAAGTGGAGATGCCGCTGATTCTCACCGAAGCAACAGAGACCCTGTGGAAATCGCTCGTTCCTGATAATACTTGTCAGGGACAATATTTGTACAAATATTTGTGCTGGCGCTTAAGCACAGGCGACCCATATCTTTGACAGGAAATTAGCGATGATGGTATTAAGTTGAGGAGCACGAAACAGGAGGAACAGAAGGGTTATATATATAGGATTTTTAAGGCACATAGTCCTCAGAAGTGGTTTACCCTTTCCTTCCACTAGGGGCGCCCTGGGACTGTACAATCTGCCCAAAGCCAACACAGGCTGGCTGTTCTTCCAAGATGCCCCGTCGGGAAGCAAATTTCAATGCTCTCTCGCTCTGCAGCCATGTCCCCAACTCACTGAGCTAGCCAGCCAACCACAGTACCATAAAGTACAAAAATGCAATCCAATGTATATACAGAAATGAGCCCAGAGGGCCATTCATCACACACACACAGATATTCATGTATTTAAAATATTTTTCCCCTGCCTTTTTCCTTAAAAAGAAAAAGACAATATTACATGATTAAGACAATACTAAAGCTAACAACAGTGAGTCTTCAAATCCTCACGAGGATCCCACAAGTGCCACACTAAAAAGCAACACCGAAACACATTCAAAGCGGTAAGTTAAAGCTAACAGTGAGTTTTCAAATCCTCACGAGGATCCCACAAGTACCACACTAAAATGCAACACCGAAACACATTCAAAGCGGTAAGGGACAAGCCCCCATTGAAAAAAAAACCACACAGGCAGCCTGGCCTCCAGTGGGAGGGTGTTCCAACGCGCACACACACACACACAAAATACTTATTCTACAGGAATGATATAAGTTGGCTGGCACGTTCCTGAACATGTGTGTAGATTCCTCACTGTCTCATCATTTCCAGAACAGAAACACAGCCACTCGTAAAACGAAGGATGCGCGCATCACTCTCGAGACGCAGAAGGGAGTCCTGCTGGACCTTACTGTGGCGTGTTCCTTTTTTTGCAATAACAGAAGAAAGGAGGAATGTCCTTTTCAAGGGTTGACCCTCCCGCTTGCCTGAATAGGCAGGTGCCCGTTTTAAGCAATACTGTGGGCTCCTTGAACCTTCCAGAGGACAATCTGGGGTGGCATTTCCCGACTTTCTGGACTACAAACCTCAGATCACTCGCCCCAGTTGCAGATATAACCTCTTGGATGATCCCCAAAGCCCAAGAAGGGCCAGAAAGTCAGTACAGGGTGAGTCCACCTCACAGCTCCCCCATGCCACTTGAAGCAGATCTGTGGAGTGGCAGAAACCTCTTCCCTAGTAGGTGAAGGTTCCCCGTGACCATTAAGCGCAGTCGTGTCCAACTCTAGAGGCCAGCGCTCATCCCTATTTGTTAGCCAATGAGCCAGCGTTTATCCATAGACACTTTCCATGGTCACGTGGCTGGCGTGACTAGACAGGAATGCCATTACCTTCCCACTGAGGTGGTAGCTATTCATGGGCTCGCATTTGCATGCTTTCGAACGGCTAGGTTGGTTACACCGTTCTCAAAAGAAAACACTAAGGAACAAGAAGAAGCTTACCGGCGTGCAATGTAATAGAAGACAGGATTGCCAGCTTTGGATGTCCCGGCTTGATAGAAGATATTTAGCGTCTTGAGGGCTTTGAATTCCTCTTTTTCATGCACCTGGTGCCTAAAGATGCAAAAGTAAATATAAAGGCATCAGTTCATGCTTATCTGACTATAGACTCCATTCAGCCACCAAACCAGAGGCTCCCCCTGGAATCTTTTTCTCATGCCTACCGAAAAGATTTCATCAGAGATGAGATCACTCCTATAAATGCTTCTGAGATATGGATAAGCATGCAGGGAAGAGAGCTAGGGGGAATAAAAATCCTGGAATCTCAATGCAGGAGGACAATAAAAATGGAAGAACAAAACATGCCATTTTCAGTGGGAACAAATTCATGCTTGGGAGGGCTGGCAAGATTATTAAAAACAAAGCAAACAGGTATTCAGAGGCGGTTACCTAGTCATGAATTCTTCAAACTTGGAACTGGTGAGATTAATGCTGGACCACTGCGTGTCTGCCACGGGCTTGTGCTCGGGGGGGCCGAGGTAGGCCAGCAAAGTTGCCATCTTGTCAAAAGGCCGCCTTCCGACAGCTTTGTGGTCCCTAAAGGAGGAGGGTGGTTCATCAGTAAAACCGACAAGAACTGGACCAGCTGATGCTGATGGTTTTCACAGAACCTGCAAGCTATCCCTCATCACAAGCCGTAAATGTATGTAGCAGGTTTGGTCGGCAGATTTTCCATACTATTTATCATGGGGATAAAAAATCCCGGGAAACCCTGTTTTCTCACTCGAAACAGAGGCCATGCTTCTTGCTTCAAACAGAGGCCACCCTTCCCACTCCTGAGTTAACTAAATTGTACGAAGAGAGAGATTTTATTCATGGAGTAGGGGACTAGGTTCCTAATGGCAGCTGCTTCCTTACCCTCCCACCCCGGCAGGTTTGAACCTCCCCACATTTCATGCCCGCCTATCCGTATCTTGGACGGCTCTGTCGTGATTAAGCGAGGTGCGTTACGCTAGGCTTTCCCAACGTTTTAATTCTGTGCTCCCAAAGGACCGTAAAACGTCTCATGGCCATTGTCAATAAGTGAGGTCTCATTGTCTGTACGAGAATAAAGTGACCCGCAAACCGTCTGAACAATTGTCTACCTGGTACGGAATTTGCCATGTCCAGAGGCAGGCCAATACAACGCCACTTTCCAACCCTGACTCCCGGCACCACTGAAAAGGAAACAGAGGACCAGAAGCTCCTTATAAGCATCCTCTGTATCCTATGGTGGCGAAGATGCCCCACTGAGATGAAGCAGGCAAAGCCCCAGGAGACACAATTGCTCTTTCTCTTCCTTTGTCTGTTAGTGGCGCAAAGTGATGCACAAGGACGCTTCGGTGCTAATTTGTCTAAGCCATGCATTGACCTCATAAAAATAAGAGCAACAGCATGATTTAATTGGACAGAGAGGGATAGCTCAGTGGCATCTGGCCACTGAGGTTGGGACTTCAGTTCCCCACTGGGCCTCCTTGACAAAGAGGCACAGGGTCATCATCATCATCATCTGAGAACTGCAGAGCTAGAAAGGGACCCGATGGTTCGAGGGTCTGCAGGGTCCCTTCCAGCTCTACAGTTCTAAGATGATGGTAGTGGTGATTCAAAGATGCAGCCAATGGAAAACACAGCCCCTTCCTTCCATGGAGAAAGCGACTATCTCGTGAAATGATAAATTATCCACAACCACCTCTGGAGTAAGTATCTCCACCCCAAATCCAACAACATTCACTAGCATTCGGTCACTTCCTACCTGTTGCTCGACAGTCTCTGGAGTACGTCTCTCCACCCCAAATCCGACAACATTCACTACTACCGTTCGGTCACTTCCTACCTGTTGCTCGACAGGTACTGGCCAATCTTCTCCTGATTATTCCAGAGCAGGCGATGCAAAGCCAGGACGTTACTGTCGCTGATGAAAGAGAGGCTGTGGTTGACTGTGTCGCTGGCTGGACAATCTGATGCAATGTCAAGGAAAAACCTACAGGTAAAGAGAGGAGAGTTGGTGGGGACCATAATTCTTTTTGGGTCACCTTGGAAAAGCACCTCGCTGGGTTGCCAGATCTGTTTTGCAGGTGTGTGGGTTATGAATGAATGGCATAATGGCCAGAAGCAGATGTTAATCACGCACCCTGCAAGGACACTTCTTTGAGGTTGCTGCACCCGCCGAGGTAAATCAATCAGCCAAACAACAGCAGGGAGAGGAGTCGGAAGGTGTGACGCACATAAGATACAAAGCTAGCGTGGATTGCTGTGTTTTTCTTTGAGTCTGTTATGCGCTTTCCTTCTCTGAGGCAAGAGGGGGGCCACAAGAGCGAAGAAGGCAGCCGAGTGAACGGATCAGCTCTCTCTCTCCCACCCCAGTGATTTATTTCCAGAACTTAAAACAGCCACTCTGCTGGGGTAAACTAAAAAGACTCATTTCGCCGTCCACCATTCTACAAGAAGGGATAGTAAGGGCACTTTTCGCTGCTGTTTCCAAGCGTTAGTCGTCACGGACCATGCTGCTTCGGCCACCTCTGGGAATACCACATCGGTCATACGGTCCAGATGTTATTGTGGACAACACACAGCCTCGTGGCAAATATATGTACCCTCTTTTGAAGCCAGTTTAAAAGCTAGACCATTCTGTGTATCAGTTCTGCATACGCTCTTGATCTGACTGGGCTTCAGATCCTTGTATACCACCCAAATGAGTGAAAAGGTCTACTCTCGGCCACTGAACAACCCCGACGCCATGTACGACTGCATCCTGCCGCCTTCAAGCCCTTTAGACTAAAGGGCGCTGGCTTTAGGGTTGAAGGACCAATCTGTAACCTGCTCTGCTGGTTCCGGGCCGCCGGCCGCCTCTCGGACCTAAAGCCACGCCGGCTTCAGGGCCGAATCATCCAATCACCCCCACCTGCCGCAACGGACGGTTTTTCAAGTTTAACTCCAACCGGGCCCAGAAAAACTAAGCCGGCTTTAAAGCTCTGCATTCTAAAGGGGGGGGCGCCTTACCTTCGCGCTGCATCAAAATTGCTCTTCACAAAGTCATTGAAAGGCCGCATGTGCTCCTCTTTCGTAAACAAGACGTGGTTGGCGATGCTTTGCAGTACCTGAACAGCAAATAATGTGGTTGGAGCAACGGATACTCACTGGGACATGAGAGAATGGGTGCTCTGGAACTTCCCTCTTTATCGTTACTTTGACCGACCAAGTCCTTCAAGTTTTGGAGCCGCACGACTTGTCCGAGCATCTTTCCCCGATGTCATCAACCCACACCCTTAGGTTCTCCCTGGTGCTGTTCCTCCGGGTGGCCACGGCCAGGAAATCATCTCTCATAACAAGGGCCTTTTTCGTGGTGGCCCCAACACTCTGGAATCAACTCCCGGTGGAGCTGCGCCAGGATCCCTCCCTCCCAAAGTTTCAGAGGCTCCTGAAAACTCTCTTTTTAAAAAAGCCTTCCTCGGTGACCCAGGAGGATTTTTTAAAATTATGCCTCACTTTCTGCTAGAAAGCTATAAATGATGCCTTCCGAGTTTACAGTTATTATTCATGTGTTTGATTTTAGTTTGACTGCTTGTGCGTTTTTACTTGCTGTAAACCGCCCAGAGCAGCCACTCTGGTCCACACATGCTTAAGATCAAAAAGAGGGTAAGGGACCAACATGATGCTCTTAAAAGCATTCTGGGAAGCAGCTTTGGAAGGGAAAATAAGGACTGAAGGGTGGAAGAACATCGGGGGCGCACAGAATATTATAATATATGACTAAGAGGATAAAGGAAAACTATAAAGTAGTTTGGAGATTGTATTTAACGCTGGTGAAACTGAATTGTACGGAGAATAAATATTCTGATTTATCATCATCATCATCTTAGAACTGGGGAGCTGGCTCTATGGATCATCAAGTCCGGTCCTGTCAAGGAGGCAGAGTGGGGGACTGAACTCCCAACTTCTGGTTCCAAAGCCAGAGACCTAATTTATGGAACTATATTGGAGATGCGATCAGGATATAGGCACTTACATTCACAGATAGTGGGAATGGGAGAATACATTGAGATTTTGGAGGTTGGTTTTTAAGGTGTTGAAGGATAGATTGAAGATAAATATAGAAGTATGCTCTAGAATAGCGCTTTTATCAATATCTGATAGGGAGCAGTGGAATTGGATAGTGAAAGAAGTAATATCACATTTATTATAAATAAGTAAGATGAATATCAGCAAAGAATTGGAAAGTAAAGTATGGTTTTCATTAAATGACTGGTATGAAGAAGTTTGGAATACTGCTATCAATGACAAGCTAACTGTAATTTTGAGTAAAAAAGGTTTTGATACAGACGAATATTTTAGAGATATCTAGGGAGCTTTTATTGATTTTGTATGAATGAATGGGATGAGTTGTGCATCTTCACACAATCCAGTGCAGTTTTGGAAGGGGAACGGGGCTTTGTAAATGGGAAAAGGGGGGAAAAAGTTTGATTATGTCACCAATGGTTCAAGGGGAGGGTGGTGCTGTTGGTATAACTGTACAAGTTATGGTGTTTATGTGTCTGTAGTTATTAAGGACTCAATCCCTCAATCGATTTGGTCATGCGTGTGGCCCACGTAGGCTCTCCAAGAGCAGAACCTCTAACATCTTTTGCTTTACACCACAAATAAAGTTTGGATTTCAATCTCCCCTTCGCTAGAATCACTGTAATTTTTAAAACAAACGTTCCGAGCCACACTGCACAAAATCTAACATTGGCCTCTTGTCCAAAAAAAAAAAGAGAGAGAAAGAGAGAGAGAGAGAAGCCGGTCTTTTACCTTGGACATTAGCTTCAACCCCCTTTCGATTCTGGGCGGCGGCTTCTTGTCTAAAATCCCAGCCTCGTAGGGAGAGACGATCGCGGGGTTGATGAAACGCAGAAACATGGCACTGCCAACCGCTCCGATGCTGTTCTGAGGGAATCGCTGACTGACCACCTGGATAGTGTTAAGTCATAATCCGATAAAGAGACAAATTGGGGGGAAAGAACAAGGAGGGAAGAACTTAAAAGGGAGGTTTCAGGTCCATGGTCAGTGTCAAACCCGTCTACATGCATCCCTGTGCCAGGATTTTTAAAAAAAGGACAGGATACCAAAAGGGACTCTCTCGAGTTACGAAGACTCCAGAGGCAAGGGCCAAATTGTTGTTAGAAGGCAAAGGAGAAGAAAAGTTATTCAGAATAGGACAAAGGTTGGCATGATTTTGTTCCAGCGTTCCATTTACACGCAACACTCTCTCTCTCATACACACACAGAGAGAGAGACACAGAGAGAGACGTTACAGAGAAGCCATTTATAGACAAAGCTGTATAAACTCAAAATAAAAACCCAGACCAAATATATATATATATATACACCAAATCACAGGAGGGAAAAATAAATTCCACAAGCAAGCATTTAAGCTAAATGGAGGTTCAAACCCCCCATTCTTGGTCCCCCCCGTGCAACCTTCTGCCCACCACCAAGAGTGGAAACCACTCCCCCCAAGGTCTCCATGCAGGAAAGTCATTGCAAGATCTAACAGGATGGATCAGGATCCAACAGAGTCATTCTGCGGGATCCCACGGCTTTCCTCCAGACTCCGAGACCTCTACTGCAGCGGTCCCCAATCTTTTTGGGAACTGCAGACCGGCTGAAGAAGGCGGGGTGCACACACACCCTGCGCGCTTGTGCGCACACATGAAGCGGTGGGAAGCGTGCATGCGTGTGTAAGCACACAATCCCCACCCCACCCCTTCATGCGGGCACTTAGACGTATGCATGAAGGGGTGGGGGAGCGTTCATGCCGGTGCTGGCACGTGCGTGCGTCCGCAAAGAAGCTGTGGGGGGGAGTGCATGCGGGGGGTGGGAGGTCTGTCTTCGTGGCCCAGTCCAGCTTAGGACACGGAATGACCTCTGCTCCACTGGACCCTATACTTCTGTTCCACAGGGCTGAGAAGCACCCAGAGGAGCTGACGTGGGAAGGGAAAGGCAATAATTTCCCAATTTGTGCTGGAGCAAAACACCAAACTACAGCAGCCCCCCCTCCCCATATCCACAGGGGACCCAATCCAAGCCCCTCCTGGATGAAAAACACAGATTATAGCAAATGCTATTTTAATAGCAAACACACAGTATAGTCTCTGGCTCCCTCTAATGGCCAGTTCTGGCAATGACATCACAGAAATGGATTTTTCTAGCAAATGCTATGCCTAGCATAGTATCTGGCTCCATCTAGTGGCCAGTTCTGAAACTTCATGGTTAAAATATCTATTTTGGGGATTTTTTCTTTTAATATTTTCAGACTGTGGATATGTGAATCAGCAGATGCTGATCCGGCAGATAAGGGGGTCCCACTGGATACAGTTGCATCTTTGAGCTATAAAAATATCATGTTCAAATAATCATAAAGAAATCTCCTCACTTCCCTAATGAAGGAGGAGAGAGGAAGAAATAGGCATTAGGTTGTTTGCACACCTTATGCATCAAAGTCTTGGTACAGTCTGGCCCAATTTAGATAAAACGGGTTGCTCTAACAAGCTTTAACTGTCGTCTAGAGCTGGAACGAGCAACCCACTTGAATGCTCTCTGTTCCCCAAGGACTGAATCCTGGCTTCTCTTTAGCATTTATATAGGCAAGGGATCCTATAGGCAGACCAGCCATCCACATCATACCTATAGGTCTACTGTGGGGGAAACAGGGTGCCTATGCAAAATTTGCATCTGACACGTAGATATCTCAGGCAAGCTCAAAAGGATGAACGGGCAGGCCAATTAATTGCGTATCATCAAGTCAATTCTGCCTTATGGTGACCTCATCCAGGGTCTTCTGGGTATGTCATCAAATGACAACTCAATTATGGCGACCCTAATAGGGCTTCCAAGGTAAGTGAGATATTTAAGGAGTGTTTTTACTAAAACTCACTCCTCTGGTGAGTTTCCAAGGCTTAGTGGGGATTTGAACCCAGGCCTCTTGAGTCCTAGTCCTTCACTCTATCAACTACATCACAATTTCCAAGGATACAGTACTCTGAAGTGGTGCCATACAGTCAAACAAAAATAATCATGCGCCGTCAAGTCAATTCTTATGGTGACATTTTTTAGGGTTTTCTAGGTAGAGGGACTACTCAGAAGTAGTTGGCCACTCCTTTCTTCTGTGGGGGGCTATCCTGCTGGCTCTACTCCCAAGAGGCACAGTGGGGAATCAAACTTCCAACCTCTGGCTCTAGCCAGGAACGTGAGCTATTGAGCCGCCCAGCTGCAATCGCAACCCCACCAGGCATAAAGAAATAAAAACTTACACTTGCCAGGAACGTGAGCTATTGAGCCACCCAGCTGCAATCGCAACCCCACCAGGCATAAAGAAATAAAAACTTACACTTCTTATCTCTGAACACCCAGAGGAAGTTTTTGTGGCCATACGTAGAAAAACCAAAAACGGTATCAATTTGCTTTAAAATTATAGAGTCAGATCACTTTCCCCCCAAAAAACCTGGTGACTCTAGATTTACTGGACTCAGGGAAGGGGGGGAATGTCACATTTGAACGTAAACTTAATCTTTAAGTTTCCGATTCTGTGCCTAATCAAAAACGCAGGTTTGCCTTTGAATTCATACTGCTCTGGTTCTGTAATGCAATTTTTCAATTTAAAAAGAAACAGAGGAATGAATATACTCGGGGGGGAAATGATGAACAAAAATAGTTATCTTTGGGTAAATAATGCGCAACATACTGTACAACGCATATGATATCTCAGGGAACTGGTCAAAAAAAAACATGCAAGTTCAGAGAACAGATGGACAAGAGGTAGTTGAGCCATCGTACAATAAAACAATCAGGCAAAAAAAAACCAACAACCCAAAAATCATTACAACTCATAATATTTGCACATCAAACCAAAATTCCACCTTAACCAAAGCTCACCTGAACAGGCTGTTTTGCACTGGCAACTCCCCAAAAATTTCATAAGGCAGCAAGAAAATCTTATAGTTAAAAAAGAAAGAAACGAAAAACCAAGGCAGTCGAAATACAGGGGAAATTCTTCCATTTTCCAACGCAGTGTCTTGGTTAAACAAACACTTTTTGAAAATCTACATGAAGCAAACTAGCGTCTTTGCAAAATGACTCGGGGTCACTTTTTAGCTTTCGGGGTGTGGGGGGGAGGTTGGAAAGTAAAGCCAGTTCATTTTTGCACACGTGTTATATACTGCCAACTGCACAAACAGGCACAGATGCACAAATACCGTATTTTTCTGTGTATAAGACTATAAGGTAAAGGTTCCCCTTGACAATTTTTGTCCAGTCGTGTTCGACTCTAGGGGGCGGTGCTCATCCCCATTTCCAAGCCAAAGAGCCAGCGTTTTGTCCGAAGACAATCTTCCGTGGTCACATGGCCAGTGCGACTTAGACATGGAACGCGGTTACCTTCCCACCGAGGTGGTCCCTATTTATCTGATCACATGTACATGCTTTCGAACCGCTAGGTTGGCGTGAGCTCGGACAAGCGACGGGCGCTCACTCCGTCACGTGGATTAGATCTTACAGCTGAAGATATACAGACCTTACAGCAGAGAGGCTTCTGCGGATTAACCACTTTTGTCTAAAATCTTTAGAATAAAAATTGAGGGCCGTCTTATACACGGAAGTAAGCTGAGGAGAGAACAAAAACAAGTGGAAGGGAAAGCAGGGATCAAAGCGATCCTGCAGCACTTCGATCCCTTTTCCCCTACACTTGCTAAGGCCCACTTAGATTTCTTACTTTTGGATTAGAAAAGTGTGGGGTGTCTTATACATGGGGGTGTCTTATACACGGAAAAATACGGGTAACTATGAACAGTGCACCACTGGGTTTTTTCCCCCCCCCCAAGACGATTGAACAGTGATTGTGTTGGAAGCACTCTTTGTGATGCCGTGTGGTCATTACAGCTTAGACATCCCAACGGCAGACATTAACTGTGCCAATTAATGCTCGTTTTTCCAAGTTGTTGAGGCTTCTGTTCTGATCTTGTCCTACTAAGCTCCCCTTTGCTTCCAATCCCGAGCCCTCAACGCCATGGAGGAAAAAACCGGAGAGGGAGACAGGTCCTCCTCTAGAACAAGGGGGGAGGTGGGGGCTGTTAAGAATATACCAGTGCAAATATATGCCTTGTCCTTATTTACTGGCTCCCCCCTTGTATCTCTAGACATAGCAAGTGGCGACCAGGAGATGGGCACGGGAATCGTGATGCGGAGCTGCGGAAAGCCTGCCTTCCAAAGAGAGAAACTCACACAGGCACATACAGAATCTTCCCATGTTGCTTTTTTCTTTCATAGAAAGAGATGTGAATTCAGACCGGTGTTAATTAATTAAAATGAAAGCTCTTTGGTGCCAGAATTAGTAGAATGATATATTTTTTTCAATGAGAGTCGAGAAAGCTAGAGAGTGAAAAGGTGGTGTGTGTTTTTGGAGAAAAGAAGGGAAAAACAGAAATCGGGGGAGAAAGAGAATTTTGTGTGCATGGAAAAGAAACGGCGAAGAAAACTTCTCGGAAACTTACTGATTTTTTGTTTTCCTTTTTTTCTTTTACGGTAGCTTTATTCAGGAGAGAGTGGCAAGTTGCCTACAGAACAGAGATGAGCACAAACAAGTCACAGCACCAACCACATACAGCAACACAAAAAAAACCAACAACAACACAACCCAATGTTGATCTGTACACAAAATTACACAATCAAATGTAACAAAACGGAACAGAAAATGAAATATACACAGTAATGTTGGATGAGAGTTTGTATTTTGTGGGTGACTGCAATTCGTTCACAAATACAAAAGGAAGCAAATGTCAGGCTCCAATCATTTCTACTATTTCTGGCTAGGTTTAAGCGTTTTTAAGGTGGCTTTCTAATTGGACACAGCAATCCGCTGCTTATTAGTATAGGTGGTGTTTAGAACATGTGGGTTTCCTTGGCCGAAAGCTGTCAGTCAACATCTTCGCTTAATTTGATTATGAAGCGTGCTTGTGTTTTTTTCCAAATAACAGCACCAAGCCGTCTGCAAAGTCAGTTTTTTCATATACAAGGCCATCCCCAACGTGACCGGGGGGGGGGGGGGGAGAGGACCGATTCCACTCCACAAAGGATTATACAATTGCTGCTTCTCTCATGGCCCATCACCTACACAAAATCTTGAGCAAGACCTCTATATCTATGGCAGATCAGTTCAAAGTCACTGCCAGGCAGATGCTGGAAAATGCAGATTACAGCCAACGGCATTTTAACAGGGAAGCTACACGCAGCATGGTCTCTGGTTCCCTCTGGTGGCCAGTTCTGGTAGCTTCATCTTTAGAAATACTGTACTGGCGGTATTTCTGGGATTTTTCTTTTAATATTTTTAGATTGTGGATAAGCAAATCAGAGGATACTGATCCCACAGATACAGGGGTCCTACTGTATTCTCCTGGCCTGCCCCCTGGTTAGTATTCCTGCACAACATCCCAAGCCAAAAACTACACCAATTCAATCGCTTTTATTCTTACCAATAAATATGCATCAAGACAGAATACACCAGCCAAAGCAAATGCAAGCTTCATACATTCATCTCCACCCTGTTAAATAAAGCAAGCTAAGGTTCTCAAAAATATTTACTTATGGCACCATTACAGGAAACTGTGGTCTCCGGAAATGATTATTCTCTTTAGTCAAATTTGCATAGATTTCCCCCTGGAAAATCTGGCTCAATGCCTGATCGTGCTGAAACCCAGAGCATGCCATATCTCTCAAAACAGAGGGGAAAAAAGACAGGTTTATTTGCTCCATCGTGCATGTTTCAACTTATGATTCAGCAATTCCACCGCGAGATCCAAAGCTTAACACTTTCACTCCTGGGAACTGGCTCTCTTAAGGAGAAGCCAACGTGGCTGGACTTGTCCCCATCACAAACACATACCCCGTTGTGACAGGCAGCCGGGCACGTCCTTTGAATTTAAAACGGCAGGAGGAGCACGGAAGGGTTAAGGAGAGAGCCGATCCCACAGAAAGTCGGGGAGAACACAGGACTCAAAGCTCCTCTTCCGGCTGGAGCAAAGGTTTTGAACGTTTTCCTTTTCAAACAGCCTATTAAGTCATCGCCCGATTTAGGGGTAAAAGGTCTGAATACCCTAAGTTGCAACCAACAGTGATCAATAAACTCTCCCAACTTGCCGTCTTAATGATTTTCATGAACTTTCTCATACACTTATCCCTGGAGAAGAGGTGGGAAATGTGGGTTAATATATCTATCTATCTATCTCCAACATGGCTCCAAGAATCATTAGTCTCATGGAGGACCGTTGTCCTAAAGCTCTTTAGCAAGTCTTCCCGATTTCCAAACAAATATCCGGGAACAGAAGCAACGGCAGGGTCTTAGGATTGACATTCCCCTGATGTATAGGATTTTTAATTTCTGGATCTCCCTACTCCATAAATTGGAAAGGAAGGCAAACAAAGCAGCTAATTCCATGCACCTGGGCAGGAAAGAAGGCTTAAGCACAGGGTCAGCCATGTCCCGCCTTGGGAATGATGATTGCAACACCTCTTTGCTCGCCCACCAATCTTCCATATAGCCACCACCCAAGCCATTCCAGAAAAATAAGCAGGATGAGAATTTCACACAAGCCAGTGTAGCTGGGCATTTAGCACGAGACAGATTCCAGATTTTGAGACCATACTGAGCTCAGAGAATTCCAAAAATGAGGGGGGGAAAAACCCATCTACCCTTAAAATCGGCCAATGCTGAATTTGTGCCATGTTGGCTGAGCTATTCCGAAGTGTCTAGTCCAAAATAAAATAGAACATGTTATCCCTGCAATGATTTAAAGAGACTCTACCTCAACAGTGAAGCCACAAGGCAAAGCGGGGACTGGACATTGATATCCAATAGAAGAGGTGTAACAGGCAGCCCGCCAGATGGGTTTGGACTGCAGCTCCCATCAACCCCAGTCACCAAAACCAATGGTGAGGAATGCTAGGAGTCGGAGTCCAAAATCCTCTGGAGGGCTGTTCTTTATTCACTCTTGGATTACTGCTTGTTTGGTGGGGCTTATGCTGTTGGGTTCAGGTCAACTCAAGAACCACAGTCCAATTCTGGAAACTCCAGTAGGCAAAGAAACCTCAACTGCTCTCATCAAAGCCAAGAGAACAATATATGACTATGCATTACCTCCCCAGGCATTTCAAATTTCATAGTCCCATCACCGTAAAGGCTATTAGCAAAATTCATGTTATGCTTTTAGCATAATGTAGTACGTCTAAAACAGAAACAGCAGATTCTGCTGTCTTCCCACAGATTGGAAATTAGAACTACAGCAGGATTCCTGTATTTGCGGGGGACTGGTTCCAAGCCCCATGTGGATGCTGAAAACTGCGGATAATAGTGAATGCTATACATAGCATGGTGAAAGAAAGAAATCCAGAAATACATATTTTCATCTGTATTACCAGAACTGGCCACTAGTCAGAGACCATGTTATGTGTTGTTCTTGAAGAATGCATGGCATGCTCTCTGGCCCCTCTAGTGGCCAGTTCTGGTAAATACATCATAAAAGTACTTATTTCTAGTTTGTTCTTTTAATATTTTCAGAACACAGGTAAGTGAAGCCGCAGATATGGGAGTCCTAATGTATTATTGGCTGATGGGATCCAGTTCTCACTTCGTAAAGAGAACACCTATCTACTTCTTCAGAAGCATAAGATTAACATGGAAGCACTTTCTAAAAAGTGATAAATTCTCTTTTAATTCATAAAACCAACATGTCACACATACAAGAAACAGGTAACACAACTTCCATCAATCACTGCAGACCTTTCCTCACACCCCAGATTACCATCAGAACCCCAGGCATTTTATCCTAAGAAAAGGTTAAGAACCAACTCTATTGCCCTCTTGAAACTTTGTTTTTATTGGGGGAAAGATTTATTACGACAATTTTAGCAAGATTTAGCAAATGAACCACCATCCTTAGGAGTACAAATATTCCCTATTACAAAAAACCCTTATATCGGAAGGGTGGTCAAAAGGCAACTCTATTCCAAGGGCTGCTCAGGCCAAAGACACACGGGGTCTTCTATACTCAGACTTTCCCACTTGGGTGAGATGTACTACGGTTCTGTTTTAACTTTCAAAAATTATGTCTAAGTTTGCACCTACTCATATAAATAAGCACATGCAAATTTATTCCTGCAAACCCTTCTTTTTATATATAATGCATCAGTGGACACTCTCCAAACAGCTTTAAAGAAAAGGCCAGCAAAACCAAATTCTTATTACACTCCATACATCATTGTAGATTACTTTCTTAATTAGAGGCAGAGGAATAATTTAATTAATTGCGCTGACAGGGAAGAGATGAAATACAGCAGTGGTTCCCAACGTAGGGTTCCCAGATGTTCAAGACTCCCAGAAGCCTTCACCACGAGCTGGGCTGGCCAAGATTTCTGGGAATTGCAGTCCATTAACAACATCTGGGGACCTAAGGTTGGGAACCACTGAAATAGAAAGTGGGAGAGAAAGACATTTCCTGCTTAGCAAGGGGAAGGCCTTGTACAGACTCGAATTCCCGGTCTCCATTCTTTCAGTCCAGACAAATACACTGCTTCCTTCAGAATCCTTCCGACTGCTTCTTTGATCAACGAACATCCATCTGAGTTTGCTCCTCCCTTAAAGTCCAGTTAGATCAAAGCAAAACCAATCCAATAATCTGTTCACATAGTGGCCAAGCAGGTAAGGTGAGGTAAAGGTTCCCCTTGAAAATTTTTGTCCAGTCGTGTTCGACTCTAGGGGGTGGTGCTCATCCCCGTTTCCAAGCCATAGAGCCAGCGTTTTGTCCGAAGACGATCTTCCATGGTCACATGGCCAGTGCGACTTAGACACGGAATGCTGTTAACTTCCCACCAAGGTGGTCCCTATTGATCTACTTGCATTTGCATGCTTTCGAACCGCTAGTTTGGCGGGAGCTGGGACAAGCAACGGGCATTCACTCCGTCACGTGGATTCGATCTTACAACTGCTGGTCTTCTGACCCTGCAGCACAGGCTTCTGCGATTTAGCCCACAGCGCCCCCACGTCCCAAGCAGGAGACGCGTGCAATGGCACCTTCTCAAGTATACCCAGCCTGACTATCAGGGATTAAAAGCGTCAACCTCCATACAGTCAGACAAATCCCTCTTAAAGATTGTTCCATTTGGGAGGGACGATGTAGCAAAGTAAGAGTTTAACTTAGTTAAAAGTAAGAGTTAAACACAAAGTAAGAGTTAAACACAATGTGCATCGTGTTTTCATAATTCCAAAGAAAACTCTACTCATGATCCCGCATAACGCCTTGCTCCTTTATGGGTATCTCCAATGGCTGAATAGAAGTCCATGGTATCCATAAGGGACTGGTTCCAAGACCAGCCCCATGGATGCTCAAAAATGTGCAAGTATCAAACACTATACTCCACGTGGTAAAATACACCCCGGAAGAACATATAATTAGGTGTTTCTGGGGTTTTCTAAATCAGTATTTTCAGCCAGCGGAGAAGCGAGCCAGCGGATATTGATTCATGCGGATAGGGGGTCCAACTGAACAAGCTGTTTTACAAAATGAGACAGGCACCAAATTATGTCAGGTGGATCGGAAAGGCAATAGCTGAAGGAAAGAACACAGAATTTGCGGGGAGTGGTTTAGGGCGGGTCAGTCACCCTTTCAAAGCAGAACCTCATTTACATCGTAAAAACGGACAGCCGAGAAGAGATCCATCTCTGTTGCACTGAAAGGCAGGATAAAATGAACTCAACCAATAAGAAGAAATCGTTTTTGACTCTACTGCAAACTCCAGGATAGCGAAACTCTGCATCTGAGGATCAAATTCAAGGGTCCAACCTCAACGTAGGTGAGGTAGAAGGCAAAAGGATACTCCTAAACATACCAATGTTTTTTTTTTAAATTTTAAGCTTACTGCCAGTAACGAAGCCATAGAAGAGGCATCTCCATCTTTCAGAACGGGAAGAAAATACATTAAAAAAAAACCTGGGCCAAATCGTCAATGGATAGGATGGCGAGGAAAGAGAGCTGTGGATCTCCGAAGGAATCCAGAGATGGATTTGGCCCCCAGGCCTGACGTTCTTCACCGATTCTTTCACCGGACTGAACAAAACATGTCACGGCCTTGGACCAAGGGACCCTCCTCCTTCGGGGAAGACAGAGAACTAACCCACTAGCCCGAAGCCCTGTCAGTCTATAACTGGAGACAGATGACCATTTCAGGGAGCTACATCAGCACCGGACAAAAGGGCCCCGGGCAAGGCAGTAATGTTCGCATCTCCAGAAACCCACCCGTGCCTCTTTCTTCTAAGGAGGTCAGCCTTTGAAGGGGGAGGGGGGAATAGGACAAAAGTGGACATCTACAAAATCTATCTGCCTTCCCACCAATTGCACAGGTCTAGGGCATAATGCAGTCATAAGAGATGCTAGTTTTTTTATACCACCTCGACGTTAAGACCATGCACTTCCCAGTCCAGGCCTACCTGATAAAGACAGTGGCACACACTGCGAAGCTGGGGTGGGAATTCTGCAGAGGAGTTGATGATGGCGTGGAAGAACTTCTCCGTCATCTGCAGGAGGCTCCGTTGGTTGTCTTCGAGGCTTTCACTTGACTCCAGCCTGCAAGAGAAGGTTTGTCAGGGCTTCGCCAAGGGGACCAGATCGACTTCTAAGAACGCAGAACGAGTCACGATGGGCCACTCAGAGCTACAGCGGCCTCTCCCTTTTTTTTGCTGACAGCTCCCACGACAGAAAGCTTCTCAGCAGGAAATGGGACTGGCACAGCGACCGTCCTGATAGACCAGAGCCTCGATCATGTCACTAAAAGCTGGACGTCGAAAAGCTTTGCAAAGCGAGGAGTCCTGCTCTGCTTTGCGCTTTTCCAGTGGCAAGTCAGCCTAAATCCAGCTCTTCTGATGCCATCCTTCCAAAAGGAAGAGGCCAACATCTGGATCGCCCTTTCGACGACCAGTGGCCGGAAAGTACCATATTTTTCCATGTATAAGACGCCCCTCCCCACTTTTCTAATCCAAAATTACGAAATCTAAGTGGGGCTTAGCAAGTGCAGGGGGAAAGGGATCAAAGCGCTGCAGGATCTCTTTGATCCCTGCTTTCCCCTCCACTTGTTTTTGTTCTCTCCCCATCTTACGTATAAGATGATCCTCAATTTTTAGTCTAAAGATTTTAGACAAAAGTAGTCTTATACACAGAAAAATATGGTATATAGACTCATCCATCCAAGCCTAATTGCAGACTGCTTTTATATAGGTTTTATTGGTAGGTTGCTTTGGAAACCAATCTTGCCTGAAAAGCAAGATGTAACGGTGTTGGGCTACTGTGTCCTTCCAGATGTGGAAGTGGGACTTGCACCTCACATCAGCCTGACTCAGCACAGGCAGTGGTGGAAGAATATGAAAACTGCATTCCATTAACCTCGAAAGGGCCACCAGAGGCTTCTTTCCGCCACCAACTCACTACTCAAAATTTACTCAAGAAACCCCAAGCAAATGTCATTCCAGAGATGCATAGCTGGACGTATCGATGGGCTCACATTTTTAACCTGAAGGTAGGTTATGATGGATTCACAACCCAGAGAAAGGAAACTGAAGACCATTAATTGTACGGCTCCAAGAGCAGGCTGAAAAAGCCCTACGGCTCCGGACTTCACTGACTCTTAATGCTCTGGCACCAAACAAGGGATGCAAAGGAGACAGACTATTGCAAGGGCCAAATGGGTCCTCGTGCCAGACAAGATCCTTGGCCCTTGCTTAAGAAACTCATCATTTGCCCCACTTTTTGTAAGCACAGTAGGACCCTTGTATCTTTAGGATCAGTATGCGCTGATTCACTTCTCCACAGCCTGAAAATATTTAATTTTTTTTAATCCTAAAATATATATATATTTCTAAAGGTGAAATTACCAGGACTGGTCACTAGAGGGAACCAGAGACCATGTTAGGTATAGCATTCACTATTATAATAGTTTTTCCATGTTTTTCAGCATCTGCCGGGGGTTTGGAACCGATTCCCTGTGGATACAGTGGTCCTACTGTAAAAACAAAACCAAGCAACTTCTACTGCTACTGTGCAGTCTGGGGCCCATCTGATGATATGAAAACCACCAGGGCTACACAAAGAAACCAGTTCATCAAATATGGGTCGCACCCCTCCCTTCCCACCCCCGCCATACAGAGGAGAGGACAGAACGCTGTAGTTAATCTCTTCCCTCTCTGCCCTCCCCCTGAGCCCAAAATCCAAACCTCGTAGGGTCCACTTCAAAGCTAACATGCTGCCATTCCGTACAGGTAATAATGTTCCTTAATAAAGGCTCCAAAAGCTTCTGTAGGTAAGTGGCACCATAGACCTGCGTAAGAGAATTTAACCCACTTTGTTATTTCATGATGGCTTCCAGCAGGGATAACCAAGCAGTTAAATCTGACATTCCATGAAACAAACACGGGATGACATCAAAAATGACATCCTCTCCACCGCTAAAAACCTGTAGCAAGTCTGTGTCTCCCCATTTCAAAATTACAGTGTCTCCCCATCTCAATATTGTGTGAAATCAACAGGTTGTGAAATCAGCTGGGTTCCACCACCTTCCCGGGGTGAGGACACAAGAGAGGGCCTTCTCGGTGGTGGCTTCCAGGCTTTGAAATGCATTGTCCTGAGAAGCCAGGCTAAACACCCTATATCTTGTCTTTCCCTCATCAGGCAAAGACCTTCCCTCTTCAGGCAGATTTTTAAGCGGGAAGTTATCTCAAGAATGCTAGTTTTTAACTTATACAGTGGTACCTCGCAAGACAAATGCCTCGGGCAATGAAAAACTTGCAAGACGAAAACATGTTGCAAGTTT